TGTCGTCGCCTGAAGATTCTTGTTGCTGAGGCATTGGGAACTGAATAAACGGTTGGCGAATGAGAACCGGCGGCGGCCTCCCAGTGAGGAGCGCCTGGTTCTGCAGCTGCAGCCGCAGTTCTTGCTCTTGGGCCTGAAGGATCTGTATTTGCTGATAGAGATGGTCATGCAAGAGGTACTGTGCGTGCTGCGCTTGCAAAGAAAGCTCAGAGGCGGTCATACCGTTGGGTTGACGAAAGTTACCGGACTTATTCGGTGTGTTGGAAGCCCTACGACCACCGGAGTGCCCTCCTCGGGAGAACTGATTCGAATGTCGTCCGCCACGACCTCCGCGACCTCCGCGGGACGGTGGCGGTGCTGCAGTGAGCACAGGACGCGGTTGGGGCGGCGGTCTCTCCCACGAGCGTTCTTCCTCCGGGGGATATTCGTATTGTTCGCAGCAGTGCTCCAGGTTCCCTTCGGAAACGGCCTGGAATGCCCGGCGCAGCTCCATATGGACCCCTCGAAACGATGTGTCGTCCGCTGTGTTTCCCAAATTCCGTGAAGTGTTGAAAGGCTCTTCCACACATAAACGGTTGTTTTGTAGCAGGTGCCAGCCTTTCGCCTCCTTCGACAAGAGCTTCCCCTCACGGACAGATATCACATGCCGCTCGTAATCGAGTTCATGACCATAGTATTTGAAGAACTGGAAAAGTAGCTCTCCGAGACTCTGCTTGTTTTTCCGCCCATAGCCAACAAGGGAATCGAGGTCATCATCAAAAGAACAGACTATCCCGTCCGCGGTCAATTTCTTCTTATGCGGCCGAGCTTGAAGGCTCGGCAAAACGGGGGGGTCTCGCGTTTGTAAGAAATTGATTATCAGGCAAATCCACGTGTAGGAGCTTAGTGTGCCTCCAAGGCCTGTGTGCGGACAGTCAGTCGAAAACTCGCTCCAGTTGTCTGTCCAAAATCGACGACTCGACACATACCGGCATCGTTGAGGATCCTCCGTTTCGTCCAATGCTTGATTATCATAGCCAAGGGTCGCACGCGTTCGTCAAGTTCCACATACGTCCGGACCATCCGGGTATTCTCCAGTGCCATGGTATTATTGACGTTCATGTCGCATGCTAATCGCAGCTCCGGATCCCAGATCTTCACGATAGGTACTTTGGCGTGCGATACGCAAACGACCCGTTCCATACCATCTGTACCCCAAATCATTGTCAGCGACTGTTTACACAAGGAAGGCAAATGGTGGTTCGCTTACGCCTGGCTAGTACCTCTGCCAAGAGGCATACGTGCTCAAGCTCCTTATAAGTGGTAGTTATACAGATGTCCACTTAATCATCGTTAGAACACACACATAAAGTAAGCCGCATTACCGAAACATACCGTCTGAGTCACTTGAACAGAGCTTATTCCCCGACGAGCCGAAAACGTGAACCTTGATATTGCAGCCTGGCCACTGTTCATTGAAGAGCTTCTCCAACTTGCGGACTAATTGACGTCGCCGGTCGTCGCTTTCAGCTGACGGCAGGAGTTGATCGTAGACCTCCAGCATATCTGCGCTGAGTCTCTTCTCCTCCTCCGGCTCCAACCGCTCCTTGAGACCATCCTTTTCCTCCGGCAGCAGGTCGGCACCTAATGAATACGGCATTCTTCGACGGAAGAAAGCCATGGCGGTTTCATATTTGCAGCCCGAGAACTGTTTTCGCAGCGAGGGGGGAAGATGGGTAGACTCGGAGTGGGTGGAGCGAGGGGAGGTGTTTCCTTGCGGGGGCGAAGGTGACCTGGAGTGGAAAGAGATTTTTCGCGCATGTTGGTATGGTGTGGAGGGCAGGGAATTGGATTGCTGCGATGTCAATGGCGGCCGATTCTTTGCCTCCGGGGACGTTTCTGTGGATAACTTCCAAGGCATGTTCGAGGCCTTCCGTGCTGCTACCGGCGACCTTCCACCTGGGATGGAAGATAGTTTAGCATTCCCATGGGTGTCTGGGATCATATAGCGACTCCAACGTTGATCGAACAACGTTGGCCTCTGGGGAAGAGTGGGACGAGGAAGGTCCGACGGTATTCGGACGCTGATGTCGAGGTCCACCTAAAATCCAACCTTGCGGGCGGAAAACAGTCCGCCACCAGCGAGTGCAGTATAATCCGTCAACGAGGGGAAGCACGGCGAGTGTCTTCGGACGGGGGCAGAGGGTAACCGTAGGGAGAGCGAAATCCGGAGACGAAGAAAGCAGTGGACTCTGTGCAGAACTCGGCCAGCGATAGGTCAGCAAAATCGCCTTTTGTGCTGCTGTGCTGTGCTATGCGCGGGCAAAAGGTATCGCAGTCCTCGATTTGAAGGGGGGGGGTGTGGGAGGGGAGGCAAAAGGCAACTCTCGCAATAGTGGACCCGCCAGAAAATGGATTGAATAGAATCTGAAGCAGACCGGAGACAGGAGTGAATGAGGTATGGGGATTTCCAGCGCGAGGTAAATCGGGGTAGTGGGCAGAAGGTTCACTGAGTGGACGGACCGGGCGATCGTCAAACAGATAGACGGTGTTTTAAGGGGAGGGAGCGATGGCCTCTAGCCGGGAAGAAGGGCACACTGGAAAAAACCACACAAGGCGAGCGGAAGAGTCGTATCGCGGAAGAGCAACACCGAATTTGCTCCATGTAAGGACCAGCCAGGTGATTTGAGCGAACGAATATACGAAGAATTCCAACAGGTTGCTAGGCAGGTCAATCGACGAAGCAAGCACCCGGGGGAGGAGGGGGGGTGTGATCTGCTGGTGGTGGTTGTAGTGGTAGTAGTAGTTGGTTGGTGTGGTTGCTTGGTGGTTTGCTGCAGAGGTAAGCCAAAAGCCAAAAGCCCAGAGCCAGAGCCAGAGCCAGAGCCAGAGCCAGGGGGGGAACAACTGCAATTGCGTTCCAACGGCGGGAAACTCTGCCAGGCGTTCCGACAAGTGGGCACGGCTGGGTAACCGCCGTTTATGCTTCTAGCCCAGAGGGAACTATTATCGCTCTATGAGAGATAGACCCCTCCACACAGAAAGCCTGCGAACAACAATAGACAGGGGGCGAAAAAAAAAAAAAGAAGAAAAGAGAAAAGAACACAAATAATAAAATAAATTTTACAGAGCACTGGAAAGTGAAAAACAAAAACGAACTGGGGAAGAGAAAAAAGAAAGAAAAAGAGGAAGCTATTTCCTTCCTTCCTTCCTTTTCCTTTACTTCGTTTTTCAAAAAGGAAAGAAAGGAAAAAGAGTGGGTAATGATTCAGGGAAAGAATGACGGCTATAGGAAGAGACCAAAGAAAAATTGAGTGTTTACAAAAAAGAAAAGAGACGGATAGTCACAAGGAGTCCGTTGGAGGGGTTGTTGCAGCAGAAGGGGCCAGATTCAAGAGAAAGAGAAGAATACTACCGAGCAATAGAAAGCGTGATTTGGGGATGATTGAAGAACCAACACGTTTGGAAACAGCAGTCAACTCACCTAAGCACAACAGCAAGGAAGGAAGTAATCCCAGATAGATGACAGGTAGCCTGGTCAGTGTCCCTCCTGAAGGACTCGGGGGACTAGCCGGGGAAGGAGTAAACTACTACTAGTAAAAGCAGCAACAGCAACAACAATACTAGGAGTAGTAGTAGTAAGTAGTTCTTGTACGGAGTCCGCGGTGGTAGCGGTTGGTGGTGTTGGAGGTAAATACTACTAGTAAGTAGTACTTAGTAGGTGTGCCCCGAGGCAGGAGTAATATCGGAAGCTATTGGTCTTTTGCCAAATTAATTGCGGCGGTTGCAAATGGGGAAAAGGGAAGAATGGAAGAATTTCCTATCAATAGGGCAAGTCATGTCATCCACGATGTCTGGGTTTGATTTGTTCCAGTTTCCCCTGTTCCCCTATTTAATTTCTGGTTTTTCCACCTCTGAATTATTTCTTCGTTTCCATCCGTAGTTTCTTTATTCCCCATCGAACCCACTTCTTTCCCCTTCACTGCCTCAGGCATATATCCCACCATAGGATTAAGAGGTCCTGAATATCGATTACTTGACCCATTGATGATTATTGACTAGGCAGGGTTGTTTGGTATGTAATACTACTAGTAAATAGTATGGGTAGAGGGGAGGAGGGAGGGTAACAGATTACTACGTAGTATTGTTTGGCCTATGAGACTTGCTCTCCAATCTGGTGGTCCTGCTCATATCCAGCTGAAACGAAACTCGCTCTTATTATTCACTATTCATGAGGCACTCAATGGGATGCGCCATTGCACACCCACAGCCAACTCTATGCTTATGCTGGCATTTGCTTCTACGAAATGGATATACTAAGTACCTCCATGGAACCTGCAGAAATTGTCATGTTAATCCCCGTCCATGGACTGGCCAATTGACTAGCTCAGCAGGGTGACGTGCATTCTCCGACTACTTATTACCACCGATGCATGCGACACCTAGTCCGGCTAAATGTCGTCCGTCCTGCTTGCTGGTTTAAAGTGTAGCCGTTCATCCCTCCTCATGATGTTAAGCAGTGAAGCGCTCCGCACCAAAAGAAGAGCGGAACGATACGGTAGTGAGAGGGGAGAGGAAGCCACGTCCCGATCGTGTCCAACGTTCGAAAGTGTCTAGATAAACCCATCTGCTCTGCTTCTTTGTGTGAACCTCAATCGCCGGTACGCGGTAGAAGTCATGTTACTCGACGCCTCAAGGTTTCCAATAGTCGGTTCCTGCCACTAAGGAAGCCCGGCTGGGTTCATTGTTTTCCCCCCTTTTTTCTCTGCCCCGCGTTTCCCGTGCTCCTGTCAGGGAGAGTTTCAACTTTCGACTGTCTCGGCCCTTGGTCCGGTCAAATGTGTCTTGCTGGCGGCACGTGTGGCCGACGCCTCCAGTCAGCGTTCCAATGAACTAACTTCAGGCCAGTTGCCTTGGTCCACCACCTGTTTAAACACCTTCGGAAGCCCGCTTCTTCACGACGACGGTTTGTCTTGGATCAACTGTCTAGTCTACTGGCTTGCATATTATGTCTGAAACTCCTACTCCCTTCTCCATTCTGAGGGCCAGAATGTTGTCCCACTCTCAGCCACAACACCAACACTTGCAGCGATGATGGGGCCGATGTCCCTTGACGGATCCTTCTCACATAACGGTTTGAGTTTGTGTTGAGATGCGATAGAGCAGACTGCCACTCTCTTTCTTGGGCTGGGAAATATTGCCAGAAAGTCAAATTTCAACCCAATAAGCTGGTGAGTTACGAAGTTTAAAGATAGCTCATATCGCTATGTAAAGGTGGAAGTGAGCGTAGTATTGTCGCTGCCTCGAAGTTTCGTTCCGACTCTCCTAGCCAGTCATACAACGTTGGCGCTCGCCTGTGTTTCAGTAGGTTAGGTTTTGCTTGTACGGTCTTAACCTCCCTTCGTTCAGGTGACGAAAGTTGCATGCGGGAGATGGAGTTAGCTTAGAGATGGAAAGCAATCGTAAACTGGGCACATAACAATCCCAGCAGCTATGCTTGACATCTCAACTTGATTGGCGAGATCAACTGATATTTTTGGCTGGTGAGTACGTAAGTAGTACTCAGTATCTGGTATCTCCTAGCTGGGGACCTCCCGAATGATTGCATTCGGGAGAAGAGCTTGATAAATTTGGGCAGGGTCGTCTGCTGGCCGAAATGGGATAAGAAGACCCAGAACCCCAGAGTGGCGTAGAAGCTATTAACTCGGGTTGAGTAGCGAGAACTAACATGCACGAAAGCCAGCACGGCCAGCCACAGAGGTCATATTTCTGCAGAGGCGCGCAGCAGCTGAGCGAAACATAATATGCTCTATGATGTAGATAGTAGACGTGCAGGTTGAGTGCACATCTCTTAGTCTTGGCACAATCATACTAGTACTGGGTAGGACAAGTTTTTTTCCAACGGTCAATCGTCGAGCCAATTTAAGTCCCCCCATCCGATGTCGGCCGATCAAAACGCCGTAAGGACCCTTGAAGTAGTAAGTTGGGTTGACATTTCTGTATCAGGATTATCACCACTGGGAAAGATCCATTTCTATCCCAATGTATCCCCGATATGTTAGGTGGTGGATGATGGATGACATGCTGATCCAAGCCACTGGCAGCATGATGACGACGGACCAACCCATCTTGTGATTTGGGTATGTTCCTACTCGGAGCGAGCCAGGGGGGCGGCGGTCCGAGTGTTATCCGTGTTGAACTGGCCATGCCCCACCACCAGAGACCTCCTGGATTGCGCGCCCAGACGATACGGAGTATTTATCCAACATTACTAAAGACGTAAGGTTGAACCGTGACAGATGCCGGACTTCCCACCACTTCTTATTGGAGACAAGCAAGACTAGACTAGTCAGTAGGTAAGAACCTCGCCGACCTTGTGATGCAGCTGCTGTCAAGGAGAGCCCGAACAGGATTATTATGATCACATGATGTGTATAATTTGGGACAGAGACACCTTGTTGGAGATCACTTTCAAGTCCAGACGTGGAAGAGTTATTGCAACAACCATGAAAGAAATATACACAGTTTGTATATAGTTAGGGATGTGGAATGAGATGCTAATTCCCGGGGTGGATTTTCAAGACAAATCTGACTCGGTGAGATGGTGTACCCGCAAGGAGTGTGGCCGACCACCGCACGCTAGCCCCCTTTGGGATTGATTAGGAGCATACCAAGTTCCAAATTTATCCCCACGAGAACCAATGACTTTGCTGACGCTGTTCAAATTCCGTTTGGTTCCAATGTCTTCGTTCTGTAGGAAGCTTTCAAGATCTCATTCAGACCAGTGCCATCATATGAGAACCAATGTGTAGTTTGGAGCTGATCATCAAGTCATGTTAGTTTCAACATACTACTTGATTAGTGGGATATAATATCATTTCGAAACCCGTACCAGTGTCGTACATGTATTGTTTCCTTGCAGGACAATAGTGGTACGATACATATCCCATGTCCCTGGTCGGGGTAGATAAAGACACAACTTCAGAAAAGGGGATGAATAACTGGCAGGCTAACTTCTGTATAAATTGTACCTTTCTGAATATCTGATATCTGGCTAAGTGCTTGGATCAAAACAAGCAGGGAGAGACAAGACATACAGTGAAGACACCGAGGAACTTTCTGAGGTCTAAAAGATAGTTGAGAGCCTCTTCCCATGGTCAGTCTGCACCTAACTACTATCTATCTACCTACTTACCAAGGTAGTCATCAAATGATGACAACTGTAAATAACATTCCAAGGCGGGTGGGACAATTCTTTTGAGAAAAAAGGTTGACGGGCCGACGCTAATAGAAGCATAGGAATACAAGGTCCTTGCCCAGTGCACGAAATTTCCGGCTTCCGGCTCCTACGGAGGGGGACTCCATATCTAAATGTTAAAAAGTCCGCGGTGGTGCAACAGGTTCACGGACTTTGTGTATTGAGCAGTTAAGGAAAGATATATTAGTTAGACTAAATCATACTACAAATGAACAGATGTTCGCTACAGAAGACGTTTAAATCATCGATTTCCCTGCCTTGCCCTCGGTTTTGATGCTGTCAGCAAGTCACCTGCGAGGACGAACGGGTATCATGAATGTAATATCCAGTATTAGTTACCGGAAGTACATTGCCAATACAAGTGGGACTCGAGGAAACAATACCACATGGATTCATACCTGTCAATTGAAGAACAAATGATTTCTATTGATAGCCAAAGTAGTGGACGGTAAATAAAAGAGGCGTAGAACAAGGACCGTTTAATCTTCACTTATTTTGCCTGCAATTTAACTACCATTTATGAAGCAGTCAAACAGATTGGAAGGTAAGATTTTAATTTTATGAGGGGGGAAATAAAACCAAGAAAAAGCAAAGAGAATAGAGGAGGACCCTCGGTCGACTAGCGATTCAACAAGGCGAATCTTCATTGCCAACCAGAACAATGCAAATCCGTCCGATGCCCACCCTTTTTTTCTTGAACATTTCCTAAACAGGCGGGAGACTGACGGGTTGTGTGTGCGTGTGCGGGTGGACTACTTGGGAAATACTAGCATGAGCTTGTGGTGGTGTGCGCTTTTTCTCCCAAGGTGGAGAGGACGGAGAACTCGATTCGAATTTTTTTTTTTTTTTTTTCCTCTCGCATCTTTCCACCTTAAGGTTTCTTTTTGTTAATTTCCTTTTTGGATTTCGTCCCACGACCGCCATCTAATTTCTGGCCTCTGGTCGATGGGGGAGGATACGTAGATAGATAGATAAATAGGATCTAGTACGGAGTTTCTATCTAGTGATGGTGACGGTGGTGGTGGTGTCCATTCCGAATGGAAGTTTGCGGATGGATTGATTGATTGATTGATTGATTAGTGATTAGTTTTGTAGTGAGTTGGTTAGGAGTGATAAATGGTTTCCATTATTATTACCTAGCAACTTTTCTGGCTGGCTGTCTCTCTCTCCCTCTGAATCTGCGTTTCTTATCCCCGGGCCAGAAAAAATCATAATATCCACGCATCTCGCTTCCCTTCCCTTGCCCCCTCTCTCACTCTCGCACCCTCTTACTCGCTCCTCTTCTTTTCTTGGTCCTCCCCTCTTCCACCCCCGGTCCTCCTCAATCTCCCTGGACGTTGCACCTCTGCTACCCGACGCCTTTCTCCTCTCCCTCCTCCCTCTTACTCACTCTCACTCACTCTCACTCTCTTCCTCGCCATTCTTCTTCCCTCCCTCTCCCCCTTCCCTGTCTTATTTCCCGCACCCACCCCCACGCCTTCTCCAAGCCCTTTTTAAATCCCTCACGCCAGACTTTTTATTTGTCTGTCGTGCCTCCAAAGGGTGAGAAGCCGTTCGTCTCGTCCCTGTTCTGCCTCGTTCGCTCGTGGTAGAACCGTCCGGAATATTTCTGCTCCAGGAGAACACCCATTTGCTTTGGTAAGTCTACAATTTTCTATGAATTTTACCGCCCCGAACCATTGTTATTTTTTTTTTTTTCTTTGGGCCCAACTCGACCATGAGACATCACCTCCATGACTTCTAGAGGAACGCAAATACACAACTTATCCATTACATCTCACTGCATCTGCTTGGCTTTTAATCGAAGTTGGTGTCTTGCATCAATTAAAGTTCGTTGCGTCCGCACCTCATTCCTGTCATGTGAAGAGCCCGGAAGGAAAGGGGATAAGATCGAAGGCAGGGAGAAAAAAAAAAAAAAAAAAAAAAAGTTCGATACCTAAGGAGTCAAATTGGGAGATCTAATAATAAGTCCGATCGATGTCATCGCTGGTCGCCATCCGCCATTTTGACACTCCTGTACGCTGACTCGGCCACCTGGCCCGTTTTATTTTCGGCCTCCACCTCGCTCTAGTCGCATCTTGCTTTTTTGTCAATGCCGTTCAGATTTGTTGTCGCACCCAAAACATTTACTCACTCGTCATATCCAGACAGGCCTCTCTCGATTGCCTTCGAGAAGATCCATTTCCATCGCATCAAAGCTTGACTCCGTCCGTCTTCCGGTAAACATGTCATACTACGAGCCTCAGGGTTGGCAGGCACCGGCCGCGCGCCAGGCCTCTTGGGAGCAACCTGCTCCCCCATCACGGTCAGGTATGGATGGCAACACACCGATTCCGAATGCGTGTATCGCTGTTCTCAATACTTACGACAATTCTTCCTTACAGGATCCAGTTCCGTTTCCCAGCGTGACGAAATCCCGGCGTTTTCTTCTCAGTTTGATGGTACGAATAGCCGTCCCCTGCCTTATTTCGCCTTGTCTGGTGCCACGACCGTCCAGTAGCGCGCAAACATATACACTGTTAGCCGTGCCGGAATTTGTGGCCTGTTCCGTTCTGTGACAAACGTAAAATAAACGATTGGGTTGGGTGCTAACATCCATCAGAGGTCGACCGTGCTATCGATAACCTCGTCAAGAGTGGAAAGCTGTGGGCTGCACCCCGGAGGGATTCTATGCCCATGATGATGGGCCGTCCCTACCCCGACTACGGTATGATATTGCGAGTCACTTGATTACATTCGACACGTTCTAAACTTCAGTAGCAGATCCCCGCATGGTCAACTCCATGAGCCAGCGTCATCACTCGATCAGCGAGTTCGATTCCCGGATGCATCCCAGTCCCAATGTGCAGGGCTTCTATGCCTCTCAGCGTTTCCAGGGTCGCCCCAATGAAGTAGAGCAAATGATGCAAGCGAAGCGTCGGATGGCAGCACAGCGTGAGAGGGAGCTCCGCAACTATCACCAGGAGCAACAGTACAACCGAAGTACGTGGTAGCATCTGTCTTTGGAGCCTTTTTCTGCACCTGCATCTTTCTTCCCCAATATTCCCCATACATACTTCTTGGCCCATGTGTATTTGTTGGCTTGTATATTACGTTGGGACATGGCTCCCGCTTCGAACATGGTTTTAATTCTTTTCTTCTTCTCAAAGGCCTGCTTGCCGAAATGTCTGGAAACAAGTCCGATCGCTCCCTCAGCCCGGCCGCCATGAGCGAAGAAAGCCGCCGGGAACTACTCGCTCGTCAGCATAGGGCTTTATACGGCAACGACAGCCCTGCCTTCTTCCCTCCCGCCGGTCTCGCCGACGACGGTACACGTTCCGAAAGCCAGGCAGGTGGCACGCCGACTTCCTCGACCGGCGTCCGTGGTGCCTCTCCCCGCAACGTTGATCTGTTCGGTCTCGCACAAACCCCCGTTCAGGGTGGCGCAGACAGTATCGGTCAGGCTGCCGCCGGCGCTGCCTCCCTGCAGTCGCCTTCTCGTGCCAACAGCACCTCCTCCCCCAGCTCTGCCATCAACCCTGTTTTTGGCAAATACGACGGTGCCGACCAGCCTGTAACCTCGACCTCGTCTCCCGGCGGTGCTGATTCTCCTTCGTCGAGACAAGCTCCTTCCAAGTCCATGGCTGGGCCGATTGGCTCCGTTGGCCCCATCGGAACCCGTCCTCTGCCCCAGCCTCATGCGGGACAGGTCTCCAACCCAGCGCTGAACAAGCGCTCCACGACTCCCCTGCCTTCTCCCTTGGGATTCGGTTTCACCCCGGGTGATTCCGCCTCGGATCGGTCTGTTCCGTCCGTGTCGACCGCACCCAGTGCTGCGGCTGCGACCGCTGGTGTCAAGGATACCTCCGGTGGAGTTGGCCTTGGCTGGGGCAACGGCAGCGGTGTCTGGGGTTCCAAGAACGGTCTCGGCGTTCAGGCATCGGTCTGGGGTTGAAGAGTGGGCGGATATCTAACATCACGCATTATTTATTCGGCATGTGTTCGCTTCGTGCAGTGGCGTTTTAAAGAGAGGGGTTTCGTTTTGATACTATTGGGAAAAGAGCATGGTACATATTCGGAAGAGGTGGTGGTGCAAGAGTACGTCTTTTGATTTTGTCTAGCGCTCCGTCACATGTGGACTGTTAATTTGGTACATGGCTGGTTTACTGACTAGGGGACTTGGGTTGGCCTGTTGGTTTCTGGAGTCGGTATTCCCCATTTGGTGTGCTTTTTTGTGCTTGCATTGATGGTTTGACGCTGTGGTTTTGGTTTTTTATCTTTTTGATTTTCCATTGGTCCTGCATCCTTTCCACTCTGCTTTTTTCTTTCGTCATGACCGGCCACGACCTGCCAGGTTGGGGTTTGTATTTACCTTCAGGGAGGAGTGTACGTCTCGGGCTCTTGTTTCCCACTCATTCACGGGGGGTTCAGGTGTTATTCTATCATCATTCGGGTCTGGTTGCGAGTTCGGCCGAAACATGCGGGTTTTGTTCAGCAACTGGACTTTTAGTTTGGGTATGGAAAAGGTTGATTGATTTTTGTTTTTTACTGCGTTTCATGTGTTTTTGGGACATTGGCAAAAAAGGAATATACGGGGATGCAGGCAAAACATCAAAGAGTTAACGGAGTCTGATCTCATGTTTTTATCAATGGTCATATACTATTTGCCATTTCCTTCTCATCATCCCATCCTCCATATCCTCCCGTACAGTACAGCACAGCACAGCACAGCACTAGGTATCAAGCCAAAGCCTCCCTAAAAAACCGCACCAACTTGGGCCCCGACACCTCCAACCGATCATACAAATCAAAATGTCCCATCCCCTTCACAACAAACAACTCCTTGGGCTCCCTCGCCAACCGCACCGCCTCCTCACTATAATGCAACGTCTCCGCTTCCTCCCCAGCAATCATCAACACCGGCCTCGGCGCAATCAACCGCATGAACGCAAACGAATCATACACCACCATCCGATCATAACTCTGCAGGGGAACCCTCTGCGTCGACCGTTCATGTCTCCCCCTCTCCGTTCCATAATACTCCGCCGCTGCTTTGAAGAACGAATCCACATTTCCCCCTTCCCCTCCGTCCTGCAATACCCTCTCCGCATCAAACATCTTCGGCGCCTCTTCCCCATCCCAATTAACCCCATTCCTCTCCCCCCTCGCCCCCTCCAAACTCATCCCAATAACCCCCCCATCCTCCCTTAACCCCCTCCCCACCCCCCCACACCTACACATCCCCCCCACACAAGCCGCCGACACCGTCGCCACCGCCCTAATCCGCAGATCACTCGCCGCAGCGAAACAGGCGTACCCGCCCGACGCGCAGATGCCCACCACGCCGATCCGCGAGCTATCTACCCCCGGAACAGAGGTCGAGAGATACGTCACTGCGGCCTTGATGTCCTCGACGCGCTGGAAGGGGTCTTCGAGGCCGCGGGGGGTGCCGGTGCTGGATCCTTGGTAGGCGGCGTCGAAGGTGAGGGTTGTGAAGCCGGCGGCGTGGAGGTGGGTGGCGTACAGGGTGGTGGTTTGTTCCTTCACGCCGGTCATGGGGTGGGAGAGGATTATGGCGGGGGTGAGGGTGGTGGGAGTGGTGTTGGTTGGGGGGTGGTGGTAGAGGTGCGCGGAGAGGGTGTGTGTGGCGCTGGGGAAGGTTATGGGTGTTGGTGTGGGTGTGGGAGTAGACATTTTGGTTGAGGTGGGTGGGTAGTAAGTAGTAGTAGGTTGGTTGTAGGAAGTTGTAGTGAATGATTGATTGGGTTGGATTGGTGATGCCGGTGGTGACGTCCAGGTCAAGTAGTAGTAGCTAGTAATTTATTTATATAGTTGGTTGCTTGCTTCGGAGGCTGGTCGGGAAGTCCGAAGATTTTCGGGGTTGGAGATTCTTGGTCGGCACGGGTGGATGACGACGGATATAGGAGTTAAGGATGGGAGTTAGATACTGCTTATTGTTTGTGGGATTGTTGATGTATCTAGTGGTGGTTATTTTCTAAGTATTGGGAATGGGAATGGGAAAGCTGTGCGGTTGTGGTGAGTAGGTGGTGACATAGTACTACTTTTGTGAAAGTACTGAGTGGATTGGATGCCACGATGTACTACTGACAATATTAATCGATATGGGTGGTTTACTCTGTCTATTCAAGTTAGTAGTACTGCTCTACTGACTGCCGTCATTGGTAAATGCTCAGAATGAATACAAACAAAAGCTGTGTATTGATATCAATCACAAGTACTCCGCCTAGTATATATAATCTCATGATTGTATGCAAGCGCTATTTCAATCATTATCATGTCGTCGTCTAACCAACTCTTCTAACCTAAAGGTCTGTCACACTGGCAGGTAGCATAGGGTCTCGCTCAGAACAAGTTGTAGATATGGAGTCGCTACGACTCCGCTCAGCAGCAGCCTCGATCTTTCTTCGTGCTGTAAACAGTCCCGACACGCCACGTTCCTGATTCCGTCCCAACCAGGGTTTGCGCGCCTCTCCCAGCACGCGCCGCCCCAAGTAGTATATGAGCTGCCCGAGGATAATGAGGCCGAAAGCAATCGGGTACATCCAGTGGATTGTGTAGTGAAACACCCCCACCCCGATGAGGACACCCCAGAAGTTCATCGTCAGCATCGAGATGTTGAAAAATGCCGCCGATGACAGCCGGAACAGCAGCGGTACCATACAATAGAAAGAAGCCAGACACAGCGTATATCCTGTCAAGTAGATACCAACCTGGCTGTTCCAGGTCGCATTTTGGAACGAGCTGCGGTCGAAAATGCCGGCCTGGATGCCATTTATGACCATGCCGTACATGGCCATTTGACCCAGGACTTCATATACCGGTGCCGTACTGACGAAAAACTCCTCACCCGTGTTGGCAAGTCCGTAGAATGTCGCACCTAGGAGCGCGAAGAGGTCGCCCTTGATCAGGTCCCCGCGCGAATAACCCCCTTCATCGGCACCAGTGATGCGGTCCGAAGCAATCAGGACGCCCATGCCGCCAATACAGATCAGGATACCTAGCACCTGGGTGATATGATAACGCACGCGCAAGATCGTGAAGGATACGATGACCACAACCGCAATAGCCCAGAAATTTATCAGCTGGGCACTCAGCATAGTCGTATAGCGATAGGCCAGCACAATGAAATAGTTACCTTCCACGTCGCAGAAGGCCAAAAAGATATCTATTCAAGCCCCGCAATTAGAGAGACCTTGGGGGGAGTGTAGGGTATTTATGTATACAGTGAGACTTACATTTCCAACCGTGCTGGAGCACCACTCGTATCCAGCCATTCAGACCATAACGGTATATGGTATATGGGGTAAAGATAGCGTTGAGCAAAAAGTAGTTGAAGAATGTCTGAAAAGCTGGAATTGAGGTTCCCTCGCTGACTAGTAGTGTACTAAAGGTGCTGCAGGCAGTGTTGGCGATAGCCAGAACCTGTCTGTGTGACAAGTTAACCATCAACCACACCTTGGTACTTTGAGCAGTTCCAAATGTAGCACTTACCCAAGAAAAAGGGTAATGTAGAACTCTTTCGTCGCAAGGTAGGCAAGGACATTGTCTTGTTTTTCAACATGCGTGGCAGGCACTTCTGGTAGGTAGTCGGCACTCCGAGGAGCCTCTAATAATGGATCAACCTGCTCGGGGGATTGAGCTACAGGTATGTAATTAGCGGGTGGTGGAGAGGATCTCTGAGCGGCAAGCCGAGCAGCCCTGGTATCGGACATCTCTGATAAGAGATACAAGAAATTGAGTTTTTGAGGCGGACGAAACTTGAGACTGACGTGGTTCTAGGAACCACTGGGTGACTTTATAACCAAGACGAGCGCAAAGCCCCCAAAAGTCGCTCGTCTATGGCGATGGCCAACCTGGTGACAACCCGAGAGAAGCGAAGAGTTATCGAGATACAGGTGTTAAGTAGAAGATACTGCTGAAGCTGGAAGTAGATCGATCCAACGTCAAAGGTAAAGCCGAGGTCAAGGCGGGGAACATTCCTTAGGTAAGACAACCGTGGATCGGATCTCCCCGCTATCCCTTTTGAAGTATGATATGCCAGGTCGCTTCTGCAGCTATCTATACCCTATGAATTTGTGATACCATTGAGGGCGAGCCAAGGTTGGTCACAGATGGCTCAGTATTTGATAATCCAATCGTGGGATTCAATGACCCGAAGATAGATAGCTCACCTCAATGCCATAAGCACCTAATGTCTTAATGTACTTGGTGGTCTGCAAGATGGTTATGGCAGAGATAATAACTAGGAAGGCTAAATGGAATATATGTATACAGCAAGAGAATTTAAGAATCGATATAGTAGACCGGCAAAGCCTATACACGATGGAAATGAGGGTAGAAGTTATCGCCTGGTGAAGGCACGATTTTACTGAAAGAGGGAAAAGATCAGGTGATACATGTCCTAAAAGGGAAAGAAGCGGAAGCGGCTTCTAGAAAAGTGCCCGTTTCAGTCAAGTCACACCCCAGCAAGAATGGCAGCTGCTGCGCATCAAAGCTCCCTCGGATGCTGCTGGTTCAGATTTTGGGCCATTCTGGGCAGCCCTCGAGCTTGAAGCAGGCACTAAATCCGCGATGTGGGCTCGAATCAAAGCCAAGTGGAGACCCTCCGACCATTTCGTTCCATTGCAGTTTCAACTTTGACAGCTTGCATTGCGATAGCCTAGTCATTGTATGCGCATCATCATTGCGAGCGCTAACCATTGGCAAAATCCTCTTCATGTAGGTATTGACTACTTAGGTCTTCCGTTCGAAACGACTCTATGAAGGGTATACAATCATGATTCCGATCGAAGTGCAAGGACAGGAGAAGTCATTGCATGGGCAACCACCAATTGCCTTAACCCCATCTGACGCCACAGAAAAAGCAGCGTTACACATAGCAAGTGTGTAGAGAACCCACAAATAGCGGTCAATCGGTCATAGACTATAATGTCTCTCTCAATGAAGTATTTCGATACACTTCTTGCATGGCCGATGCATACAAAGTGCTGCAAAACGGATAGAGTATTGTAAGATACGTGCGGTCTACTAGACTTACAGAAGAGCTAGTGGAATGAATGGAGGAAAATCAAAGAGAAGCTGTGTACAAATAAACATGGTAGCTTTCAAGCAGACCCCTAAGCACTAGCTCTTGTGTGAAGTGATAGCAGGACACTTATGCCCACATCTCTTAATGTGTGACGACTCGATGCATACCCATCGCCTGGGATTATCGAGATAGCAGGAACTAGGGATATACTATCATCGTTATTTACTCCGCTGGATTAGCGAGCCATCATGGATAGCTGTCGCCTGGAATTAGCGGGTACTGCAAAGCAAGTGACGAGCGCGTCGTTGCACAGATCAGGCAGGATTGGAAGTGGTTCGGTCGATGCCCAACATGGAGATGCTCGGACGTTTCGTGATTATTACGAGTTTCCATGAACTCTGATGTCGGAGAAGGGTCTCATATGCGTTGCTGAGGAATTCTACTATGCGGGTTGTGGGAGGAGACGAACAAAAGCATTGTGATGTTCCATCGGAACGGTGATGCCCATTAGTTATTGTCCATGCATGGAGATTTTACATAGTTACAATCGGCGGTGGGACGGGGCCCAGGCAAAAAGACAAGAGACGTGGAGACTGGAGACCGACTAGGCCAGACTTTGTTTGGTTCGGGAGGAAAAGGATTATAATTAGAAACTCCAAGCTCCGAAGGCCGGGGGAGGTATGACAATGATGGCTACTGAGGGTTGCTTGAGAGTTGAGACCCTCGATGTATAGGCTGATTTGTATCTACACTGTGTACAGTAATTGTCTATGATTTAATTTATTATTATTATTATAAGTCTTTGTAGGGTACAAAATTGTCAGACACAGTGGACCTGACATTTAACAACCCCTGAAAACATTCTGAGATTTGTTAAGCTTTCTGGAATCCAACCAACTTTACCTGACATATAGAAAGGCTATTTAAAATCCTCTAGAAATATAATAGTAGTAGTTTAGTACGTAGTAGATACTCTCCAGATATGTATACGGCGGGAGCACGTCATTTGTAACCAGTTGACCCCCCCCCCCCCCTGGTTGACGCTGGTTCCCTTCGGTCGCTTCCCTGCAGATCCCCGTGTCGCGCGTCTTCGGCTCGTCTCCTTTCTTCAGGACATCTTTAACTACTATAAACTATAAGTTAGTAGTAGTGGCTGTGACTAACTATCATGAACAACTCTTGAATAGCATTATCGCATTGCTTTGCCGAGTCACATCAGCTCCAGACGCCTAGCTCTCGAGCTTGTTCCCAAGACTATCGTTCCAAGCAAGTCCGATTCCTCCGAAAGCGCTGCTGGCTGTTGTCCCCGGCGTCCAAAGCAAGCAACCAAATCCTTTCTCCCAGTGGCTTCCTAATCTCCGGTCGCGTGTGCTGGGTGAATCTTGTAGCGCGTCGGCACCAAACGCAAAGAACGGATAAGAGACAGAAAAAGTGCCAAAAAAGATAGCATAGAGACAACAGCGCCAACCACAGCCGAGGCCGTCAGGTGGTCCCGACCCCAAAGTTCAGGATCATCATCCATCATTCTCATCCGCAAAAGCAGCGCCAGAGCAGAGCAGAAGCAGAGCAAAAGCAGCAAAGAAGCACAACCTTCATCCGTCCATCCATCCATCCATCCATTGTGCTTTCCCTCGCACACCCCAACATCACCCGAAATTATTCTATTTCTTATTATTATTTTTACCCTTGCCCCATCCATTCTCAGTCCAGTTCCCCCATTCTTTTCCATCCTTTCCAACCTCTTTCCCCCCCTCCTAAGTAGGGCCTCTTCGTCATCTTTGACTTAAGCTCTTCGCAAGTCTTTTACATCATTCTTCCCCTTCCCTCCGACCAAACTTCCGAACTTTCAAACTTCCAAACAACAACCCGCCCCCCCCTCTACCTCCACCCTTCCCTTCATTCTTCTTCTTCTTCCCTTCTTCTATTCCTTTTTTTAATTTTAACCCTTTGCCTCTGTTCCCCACTTTCCTTCCCTTTCCGCCCCCGAAACCAAACCAAACCAACCTAACCTTTCCCCCCCCTCCTCCTCCCTCGTCCAATCTGGACCAAGCCGCGGTCCGTCTTATCATTCCGCCTTCTCGGGGCTCTCCTCGCGCCGGTGCACACTCGTTCCTGAGTTGTCCCGGAGTGACGAGACGCCACCTCGCCATTCTGCCGGACCATGGCGTTGGAGGTGCAACCACCCAGCGATCGCAAGCGGGTGAAAGTTTACGAACTCAAAGATAATGACTGGTTTGATCGCGGGACGGGTTTTTGTACAGGGCAGATCCTCGATGTGAGTCCCGGTCGCCGCCCATGTGTCTGGCCGCAGCGCGATCTCCGTCGCCGCTCCTCGGGCGCAAACATTGCGGCTCTCAGGCGCGCGTGCCTCAATTCAGCTGGCTGTCGCTAACACTCCCGTCTCTGTTCCCAGGATGAACCGCGGATATTCGTCGAGTCAGAGGATGAGCCTAATCGTGTGCTCCTGGAGACCAAAATCTCCAAGGATGACGGCTATCAGAAACAACAAGGTCCGCTGCCCCTTACGCCTTTTGCTGCATCGCACGCAGCGAGCGAGATCGCAGAATGCGAGCTGACATTTCTGCGACGTGATCTAGAAACGTTAATAGTATGGACCGAGCCAAATGGGACGGACATGGCGCTGAGTTTCCAGGAAGCGGAAGGGTGCGCTGTGATCTGGTAAGACTTGCACATGCCATCCAGGAGCTTTGCGGCAATGAATTCAATCCATCGCTGACGGCGATATAGGAATTTCGTGACTAGCGTACAGCAACATCTATTGAACCTGGCGCCAGGAGGTTCGTCTTTGCCTATTGCTCGCTTACATCGCTTTTCCGGTTGTCATTGCTGACCAATTTCACGTCTGGTGCTCCAGAAGATGCTCTGTCAGACGAGATAGAAAGCTACCAGTCGATCATGCTGCCTCCACCCGAACTCGGAAACCTGCCCGAAATCGATCATGTTATGAGGGCCGCTAGCATTACCCAGGCCGGACGTGATGCGCTATCGAAATTCGTCATCCGAGAAGAGTACATCCCCAAGCTTATCCCGTTAGTCACGATGGCCGAGGATCTCGAAAGTCTCTCCGATCTACATCGCCTGTGCAATATCATGAAGTCGCTCATCCTTCTCAACGACAACACCATCATCGAGACAGTAGTTACAGATCCTATCATCCTTGGCGTGGTTGGAGCATTGGAATGTGCGTATATTGGTATCTCCGGACTGACCGTGTTGCTGACGGATTCCAGACGACCCCGAGTTTCCACACCACAAAGCGAACCACCGGCAATACCTCGCAGACAAGTCGCGCTACAAGGAAGTTGTACCTATCAAGGATGCCTTGATTCGCCGCAAAATCAGCTACACATGGCGCTTGCAGTATCTCAAGGATGTGGTCTTGGCTCGCATTCTAGATGACCCGACTTTCTCCGTTCTCAATTCCTTGATCTTCTTCAATCAGGTCGAGATCGTCAACCACATCCAGGCAAATGGACCCTTTTTGAAGGAATTATTTTCAGTCTTTGACCCAAGAAGCGCGGACACCAAACGCAAGGAGGACGCAGTCCAGTTTCTCCACCAATGCGCTGTCATCGCAAAGAATTTGCAGGCGCCGGCGCGTGCCAATCTCTTTGCGAACTTTATCAACCATGGCCTGTTTGCCGTCATTGCTTTCGCCATCAAACACCCCAAACCGGCTCTGCGTACGACTGGAATCGATATCCTAGTGGCACTTCTTGACCACGACCCCGTGATGATGCGTGGGTATATGCTGAAAGCCGTCAACGAGAAGAAGACTCCCCTGACCGACACGTTGATTGACTTGCTGCATACCGAGTCCGACCTGGGGGTCAAGAACCAACTCGCAGATGCCGTCAAAGTTCTACTGGATCCCCAAATTCCTCTGCAAGATACCATGGGCCGGGCGGGGCCTGAGAATTACAACAAACCGCGTCCGAATATCCTCTCTGATGCCTTTGTTCAGAACCATTTCGATGAATCCGCGAGGCGGCTATTCTGGCCGCTGAAACGACTCGAAAATGATGACCACCGTATGTTTCTCTTGCAGAAAATATGTCCAGGTGTCTGACGTTGACTAACTGCCTTATAACCTTTTTCAGTTCGAAACTTAAGCTTCCAGGATGTGGCGCTGTATTCCCATCTCGTTGATATCTTAACGTTCTTTGTCCGTCAACACCTATACCGGAGTCGGAATGTCATTCAAAACGAATCCCTTGCCCCTCGAATCGCTCAATTACTCACGGTTCCCCACAAGCATCTTAAGCTGAGTAAGTTGTCCCTGTGACCAGATCATCATCATGGGAAATGTTCTAATAGTGCCGTGTTCTCAGCTGCGTTGAGATTTTTCCGTGCTTTGACTAGTCTTCAAGACACTTTCTACCAGGCTCTGATGACCCATAACAACATCTTCGGTCTCATCCTGGACATTGTTTATGAGACTATGCCCCGTGATAACCTCCTGAACTCGGCCTGTCTCGAACTATTCGAAGCGATCCGATGCGAGAACATGAAACCGTTTGTTCTCCACGTAGTGGAGAAGTATGGCGAAAAACTCAGAAACATCACCTACGTGGACACATTCCAGAGCTTGATTCTACGCTACGAGCAAATGCAGGGCTACGGTGCTGAGCCGGAGTCGACCCTCATGTCGCATGAGGAGGCGATGCCTTCCCGAAGGATGCAAGCCGGCGGCCAGCGTTGGCAAGGTGTTGGGGAGATGGATGCTGCCGAGGAGGAGTATTTCAACACCTCTGATGATGAAGAGGTAAGGCGCTTGATCCAGCATGGTCTCCTTCCGGAATCGGCTAACCATGGATATCAGTGGCAGCAGGAGAGTAGGCAGACCGCATCAGATGCTGCCCGAATGCAGAATGGCGCTGCGTCGCCCATCGTCAAACCGCTCGTCGATTACCCGGATGATGACGATGAGGACGATGCGATGGACACGAAACCAGAACCCAGCGATGGACAAGCGCCACAGAACCAGGAACAACCGCAGCAAGATGGCCCGGAACACGATGCTGCTGCCGGCTCACCCGCAGACTCACCGTCCACTCCGGTCTCGACGCCTCAAACGCCACCCGAACGGTTGTCGGAAAAGCGCCGGCGCGAGGAGGAAGACGATGATGAGCTGATGAAGCTCACAGCTGGGCCTAAACGAAGAAGTTCAACCAGCGCCGGCCCCGGCACTGCCGGAATGGTGCGGAGGAAGCGAAGTGTGTCGATTGGCTCGCTCTCCGCCAACGACAAGGGGGCAGCGCTGGGGACCCTCAACAGCAGTGCACCACCGAAGAGAATCGCGATCAACCTTAGCTCGGCCACGATCAAGGCGTCTGACCCAGGCTCGACCGATTCTGGAGCTGACCATGCGAGCAACGAGAAAGAAAATCGAGATGACAACCACAGCGGTGATGGTGACTAATTGGAACCCACCACGTCTTTGTTTGATGCCTTGATGGCTCTTGTGATGAGCAACCGTCTTTTCCATTTGCTGCAAGCATCGTTCGCGTTTCGTCAGAGTAACAGGATCTTTCCTTGCTTGTTTTTACGACAGCCTCCTAGATACCAGATGAAGTGATGTGTTTTTCTTTTTCCCCTACCCTTGTGAGCCGGACGTATTTTAATGTACGATCGATCTCATTGTGCTGTTTCTTCTGCATCCTTGCTGTTTTCATCTTTCCTTTTAGATATCATGTATTACGGACTCAGCTCTGCGGCGAGATCTTTTCTGTTCCGATTATACCTTTGCCCATTTATCTGATGGGCACGATGTACATCTATTCGCATTCTCTGCCACCTCTTTTCTTTTTATTGTACTGCTCGCTTGTCCCGGAGTTTCCGGTGCTGTTGCGGTTCTTCTCACGCATATGATGGGGCGCTTTCAGCCGTACATTCAAGGGCCACCAGGGTTTTCGTTTTACATGGACACTGTTATTTCGTGCGTGATAGTGATCAGTTGAGCTAGGCATTCGGGATGATTGATGATCGTGGAATGGCGCGAGCACACTGTTGTCTCCATCGTTTAGCCACATTTGTGGTTCAAGGAGCCCTGGATAGGAGCATAGTCTAGCTGGAGGACACTGAAATGCATTCTCGAGGAAGACCGACTTGCACATACTATATTGCCGCAGTCTAATCTGACCCGATCTCTTTGATGCAAACAACCGACCTGCCCACTGTAGTTAGCTGAGCACTTGTAGGGTAGCGCTACTGTCCGTGCGTCTGAATAGAACGGCGTCTGGATAGAACGAATGATCGGCATGCGGGTTCCGAATCCACCGGGTGTTTTAACCCGGGAAACTCTCTTTTCTTTCACCCTGGATCGGCCAACTCAATATCTACTTACAACTATTCTCCCCTAATCGTAAGTAAGTACAGAGTAGGCTCCGCTCCGCATCGTGCAGATAGGCCATGGCCCCTTCAATGCAACCCCACGTCACCCCCGACAGCTTCTTCCACACAACCTCGCCGTCACGACCAACGCTACCTACCAATCCACCCCCAGCCCCAATTATAGTCTATTTTATATCCGGAAACCCAGGTCTCATCTCCTACTACTACCCCTTCTTCACCTTCCTATCCGACAAACTCCAATCTCTCAGCAGCAGCAGCAAACAGAAGAAAGACCACCATCAATTCTACATCCACGGCCACAGCCTAGCAGGCTTCGAAGTCCAGCCTCAGTCTCCCCTTCCCACCCATTACCACAATGTGGAAGACCAGATCCAGTTCATCCAGCACAAGCTCGACTCTTTCGTGCAAGCCACTACTACTACACAACCATCTAGCACCGTTAGGCGGCCCCGCGTCATCATCATGGGCCATTCCGTGGGCACCTACATCGCCATGGAAGTCATCCGGCGCCATCGCGAACGCCAGTCGTCTGCCGATGCCAATACTACTACTAGTAGTGGTGGTGGTGGTGGTGGCTTCGACATCGTCGGTGGAGTGATGCTCTTCCCGACTGTCATGGACATCGCCAGTTCGCCTTCAGGGAAGAAGTTGACTGTACATCATCTCCTCCCATTTCACAACCCTCACCTTGATAAATCAATACTTACCAAAGGATATAATATAGACCCTCTTATCCCTCATCCCCCACCTCGCACTAATCGTCTCCATCTTCGCCCGCATCCTCACCACCTTTCTACCAGACTTCGCCCTCCGTGCCCTAATCAAGCTATTCATGGCCGATCCGCCATCCCAGGCTGTCGATACTACCTGCGCTTTCTTGAAGAGTAAGAGAGGCGTGAGGCAGGCTTTGTACGTCACCTTTCCCCTTTTTCCCCCTTGAAAAAGAAAATTAACGCATAAATGAAAAAGGCACATGGCCGCTGATGAAATGCGCACCATCACGACGGATAAATGGAGTGATGATGTTTGGGGGATAGCTTCCTCCTCTTCTTCCTCCGGAGGAAATGCAGACGGCAAGGTGAATAATGATGATACTGACTCAACTTCTCGGATGTTCTTCTACTTTGGACGGAATGATCACTGGGTTGCGGAGAAGACGAGGGAGGAGATTATCCAGGCTAAGGCTAAGAGTAGTAGTATGGTGGGAGGGAAGGGAGGGAAGGGTCCGACTATGGTGGTTTGTGAGGATGGGTTGCCGCATGCGTTTTGTTTACGTGAGTACTATACTATATAACTATCGGTTCTTCTGCTGTTGGGGTTCGGGGTTGCTAATATGGTGAATGCGTGTGTATAGGTCATAGTGAAGTTACGGCGGGGAAGGTTGCGGGGATGGTTATGGATATTATTGATGGGTGAGGTAGTTCCAAGGTCTATGTGATGGGGGAATGGTGTAGATATTTAGATGTTTTTTTTTTTTTTTTTTTTTTTTTAAATTGTATATTGCTATCATACTGTCAACTAAGCGAAGGATGAATTATGGGTATCTAACGTGTCTAACATCTGGAAGGCGAAACAAAAGACAGCGGCAAGTAGCGTCGCGCTATTGATCCCCCTGATACGCTAGTCCAGCCCTCCGGAACAGATCTCCAAGAACATCCTGCTGCGGAGGATTCGGATTTGCGCCTACGCCAGGCATCGCCGCAGCCGGCGGGTGCTGCTGCTGCTGCTGCTGCTGCTGCTGCTGCCACTCGTTCGGCGCAAACTGATGTGCACGGACACTCCACTCATCATCCTGCGTCCGTTGTTGTCCAAAGAGATCCTTGAGCGAGATCTGCCGACCCATTGGTACGCTTGACTGCACCTCTTCCAGCGGAGGCGCGGTCGCCGACGCCACAGCAGCAGCGACATGCAGACCGTTCTGCTGCGCCGCTTCAAATCGCTCGCGCGCGAGCTTCATACTCTGTCCGGCGTGGGTTGCGCATTCACGAATCATCTGGGCGTTGATGGTGCGCGTCTCAGCGGTTGAGTTAGGCGGAGGCTCCGAGTAGATCCAGAGACCGTAGATGCGGACATTAGTGCCGTTATTAGCACCTGGCTTGGTGGATCCGTTCGCGCCATTGATACCATTGCTGTTGTTTGCTCCTACTCCTTCCATCTCTGGGCTGTAGTCCGATTTCAGGATGATGTAGTCTTCGGTGATTTCGACGTTCTCGCCGTCAGAGAGGAGGAGATCGAAGTTGTTTAAACCTCGTCGGTTGAGGACAAAGACACTGTACCGCTCCTCGCCTAGGGGGCCTTGAGTGAGTTGACAGACGAATAAGGAGCCTTCAATGCCGTTCTTTTCCCATTGTCGGGAGCTGGGGCTGAAGATGTAGACGACGGCGTATTGGGCGAGAGAGAGAATATTGGTGATGGAGGGGTTATGGCGGCGCAGGACGGAGAGGTTGAGCTCCTCGTTGGAGCGGAGCGGAGGAGGCATAGACGGTTCTTGGGGATCTTGAAGTTGCTGGGCATCAGAGAGGTAGTTGTGAAAGTCGGAGTCGTAGTCGGAGGGTTGGGCGATGCCTTGGCTGGGATGACGACGGTGGTTGTGATTGTTGTTTGGACGGCGGGGCTTGCGGCCTGTCATTATGCAGGATGCCTAAACTCTGGGAGAGGAAAAGAGGAGAGGATAGGGGAGAAATAGGAGTGAAACTGAGGGAGATGGAGAGGACGGGGAAGAGGGGAAGCTGGAGCTATAGCAAGCTGGAGGAAGAGGGAGAGAGGGAAGATGCAGGATAACGTCGAAGCACCGCTGGTGCTCTGTTCGGGAAGCGGTCGGGACCCCCGCGCGGTCTGGACTCGCCGTGCCAAACGACTGGAACTGTCCTCATCATCACCTCCATCACCACTTCCTCTGCTACGATTCCCTCTCCTTATCATTTCAATTGACCGGTCGGCTCCTCTTGTACATGTCCGCGGCGGATTTGCGATCGGTCGCCCTGCGCTTAGCCTCATCAATCCCGCCGTCATAGTATCCTCCGTCGGGACCCTTGCGTGCATCATCACCTCCCTCCGTTACATCCGATCGGCTTCTGGGATAGCAGGACCTCTACTACCTACAGTACCTCCAACTCGTCCATTACGATAGCCCCAGCAAGGCAGATAATCAACTGCGCGAAAGAAAACCCTCTCCTACCCTCTGCACCGTGTGACTGCCCCTCCAGGTGAATTCTTAGCCGCCGGTCCTCCTACCCCATAAGTCTATACGCACTTAGGGATATATTTATATAACGTCGAGATAACTTTTCTGGGTCTTCTCGGCGTGCTACAGTCAGCGACTTCCCCAATATGGCTTCGGGCTCAGCGCAGCCCGCATCGCAGCCTTCGTCCTCGAGCGATTCTTCCAGTAGCAACGACCCCTCTCCCGATCCGTCGGTCGATCCCTCTTCGCTCCCGCAGGCTGTAAAGGCAAGGAAGACTGAATATACCCATCAACAGACGATTCGTGTGAAAGTCGGCACCTGGAATGTCGCTGCCATTCCGGGCACCGAGAATGACATTGGGAAATGGTTCATACAGCGGGAAGGCGTATGCGAGCAAATATCTGGACTTCGGGTCTCTGACCCGCAAGAGCAAGCTAGTGTGAAGAATAATGAGCCTGGAAATGGTGGAAGCCTAGCCGAGTTTGCGCCGGACAAGATCGGCCTCTATGTCCTGGGGTTACAGGAGATCGTGGATGTCTCGTCGCCTGCGGAGGCCTTGAGACCCTTTGTTGACCCAGCACCGTCGAACCGGTGGAAAGCAGCGGTCCAGAAAGCACTGCCAGAAGGGTATAAGCTTATTGCAGAGACTCAGCTGGTGGGTCTGCTTCAATTGGTATATGCGGCACCTTTTCTCGCGGATCAAGTGTCGTTCGTTAGCTGCACCAGTGTGGGCACGGGCCTGTTGGGATATATGGGCAACAAAGGTGCTGTTACAACTCGATTGATGTTGGGCGAAACGACGTGCGTGGTCTTCGTGAACTGTCACTTGGCGGCTGGATCCGACAAGAATAGTCTAGAACGACGGAATTGGGATGCCTCACAAATTGTCGGTCGGACGAAGTTTGAGCCCATCGACCCAAATGTAGCGCTTCGAGAAGAACTCGTCGAGAGCATAGGGAAGGAGGACTATGCATTTTGGTTTGGAGATCTCAACTATCGCCTGGAGGATATCCCAGGTGGTGACGTGCGACAAGTCCTAGCCCGGCATACAGCAAATGACTACGATGATAGACATCAATCCCAGACTGGACCCAAGGACAGCACTACATCGCTGGAGGCCACGGATGAAGCGCAGAAACAGGACACAGACAGCCCCCTCCCAGCTGTTTCGGACGAGGATGTGGATCCTCACATGGACCCAGCGTCTCTGCAAACCACCATATCGTCTTTACTGCCCCATGACCAGCTTCGAATGCAGCAGGATAAGCGAAAAGCTTTCCATGATGGTTGGCGGGAGGGCCCGATCACTTTCCTACCCACGTACAAGTATGACGTGGGGAGTGTTGCTAGGTTTGACACAAGCGAGAAAAACCGAGGTCCCAGTTGGTGTGATCGGATACTGTATCGGACTCGCCAGGACAGGATGCGATACGAAAGACTGGCCAAAGAAGCTGCCGAGGCCAGAAAACGCGACGAAGAAATGAAAGCCCGGGGCTTGGAAAAGGCAGTCGCGGACGATAGCGTCTTGTTTGATTATGACCCCGATGTCGACGGAGCGGACAGTGTGGAGGAATATGATCCAGATAAGGATTCCAACGGTGACGCCTCATTAGATCTGGACGACGACGTGGATAACTCACTGCAGCTTGAGTACTATGTATCGCATCAAGGCATCCTCTCCTCTGATCATAAGCCCTTAGCCGCAGCATTTACGTTGACGTACGACTCGGTGGATCCGCAGTTGAAAGCCAAGGTACACCAGGAGGTGGTTCGGGAGCTGGATAAGGCGGAAAACGAATCTCGGCCTGGACTCACTGTTGTGGTGGACCACCACGGCAGTCAACCTACAAGTGAAGACCCCAATGCCGTGAACTTTGGTGACGTCCCCTTCGATGTGCCTGTCACCCGTACACTGACGGTCGCAAACACCAGCGGCGTCCCAGCAACTTTCACACTAGAAAAGCCGGAGCAAGATGTCTCCAACCACACGCCATCCTGGCTGGACTACCGTATCGACCAACCACATCACTCCGACTCGGAGTCCGGCTCAAACCAGAAACTGCCGTCTCACGAGTGTACCCTGCATCCCGGGGAGATTGCCAACATTGAGGTCACAGCATGCGTTCGAGACATCGAACTGACTCGTTTACTGAACAGCGGGAAACTGAGTCTAGAGGAAATCCTCGTCCTTCGGGTTGCGCAGGGCCGAGATCACTTCATCTCCGCTCACGGCAAATGGCTGCCCACCTGTTTTGGCCGCTCACTACAGGAGCTAACCGTCATGCCTGAATCAGGTGCACGCAGCCTGGTCCCAGCCAAGGCACCCCAAGACCAGAAAGACACCCCGGGCGTGCCTTTGTCAGCTCCTCGGGAACTGTTTCGTTTGACGGAGGCCATATCCGAGATATCAGAACGTGCCATTGCCGAGTGGAGCATGACCAGGAGTGAGGCAGAAGAAGATACGCCACCATGGATGAGAGAGACCTCTGGATTCGGATGGCCCTTTGAGCCCGAGTCCTGGACTCTCCGCGATCAAGATGAACGATCCCATCTATTATCCCGTGCGCGCGAAGCACTCGACACCAACAAGGACTTCAACTCCGTTTTTGCCCCAGAAGTAACTTCACTCCAACGTCTCGAAATCCTCAGCGAAACACTTCTCGCATTCCTCGGATCCCTGAAGGACGGTATTGTCACTGCCGCCGTCTGGCAAGACCTCGACCAACAACTCCTCACTCGCGAAAAAACCAAACAACCCCCCTTATCCTGGGAAGACTCGCAGGCCTGGGTCCTCGAAAGCCTCGCCTTCTCCCCCGTCCACAGCGTCTCCTTCACCTTCGTCACATTCATGTTAGCCCGCATTGCCAACGAAGTCGCCCCTACATCCTCCATCCCCAACAACACCAACACCCGCGGGCCCACACCCAACCTTCTAATCTCATCATCTGGCAACGAACCCCAACCAAAGACAACCACCCACAAGAACCCACCAGAAGATACACCCCAGCCCGGTCCTGCCCCCGCCGCCTTCATCCGCCGTAAAACACGTACCTTCACCTCATCCATCTCAAGCATAGCAACCGAACAACCCTCCCTCAATTCTACTCCCACTCCAATGGCCATCCGTCGTCAAGCCGTGGAAACCGCTCTTGCATCCATATTCTCATCCGTCCTCATATCATCGGACATTACTGTGCCCGCAAAGGAGAAAGACCGGCGTGCGCTAGAGGAAAGGAAACGGGGGATCGTTGAGCCGTTTCTGAAGACTATTGGGGTTGATAATAAGGGGCCTTCCGGGGGTGGTGTTTCCTGATTAAGGAGAGGAGAGGAGAGGAGAGGAAAGATGGTAGGATTGTAGTCGATGGGTGTTGTTTTTGTGTGTTACTACTCGTTATTATATATATATGTAGGTGTGTATGTATATTTATAGAACTTTTTCCTCTTCGTATCGGACTTCTGTTTCTGCACGGGTTTAGTTTGTTTGTTTATACTAGTCAGTATGGTTGTGTTGAGTGGTATATTCTACTACTGTCACTTTGGTAGGTGGTAGTAGTTTGAGTTAGAGCTACGGGAGGTACTAGCTGTCGGAAGGACTGGCCACGGCATTTAGTATGGTTAAAGGGTGTAATAGAACAATTGGTACCATCCGACTTGAGATAAGTCACTAGCTGATGTCATCAGTACGCATTATATAGTATCGATTTAAGTAGATGCGGTCGAAGATTTGGAGACAATCGACTCCAAAACAGCGCAAAATTTGAGATTGACTGTCTACAAGTCATCTCGGTCTACTATTACAACTCCAATTCAGCCAACAATTCTCATCTTCGAATAGACGTAGTTAAGACTTATAGTTCCAAAGAGGGCAAATCCAAGGAAACAAAAGAAGCGAAAAGGGACCCATAGTCCGTCTTCTATAATCTAGGTATATAGTTATGATCGGCCAGGTGTAACGCCGGTTGCAAGAATTATTGAATTTCTTTGATCTGACCAAGGGCCCGGGCATCTTTTCGCTCCTCTTCCGAGATTGGCCGTGCTGTCTTCTTCGCCAATCGTGGTTTGCTGTGTGGTGTTTTCTCTTTTGTGGGGGGAGGAATTGGAGAAGATTTTGAGAACAGTATGCCTTTAATATAACGCAAGCAGCTTTTCGACATGTGCAATGGGAGACAGACAATGGACATGAAGACCTGCACAGGCAGTAAAAAGGCAGCGTAAATGCCATTAACTATCATAAGAAAAGCTCCCTGTGGCCGTTGAATGCTTGTTCGATGGGCTGTTGCCGCTAAGGAGAAGGCGTCGTGCATCTGGGTTTCCAGGGCTTGGAGACGAGAATCCGTCTGGTAGGCAGAAACGGCGGTCCGTTTTTCATACCTTCGTACGGCCCGATTCAGAGCATCAATGTCCGCTTGGAAGGTCTTCCGCACTTCTGCAGCCGTTTGCGTGATTGCTGATTGAATCGTTTCCAGATCTTGCGTATGTGGCTGCGCCTGATCCACGGTACTGGCTGACAGACGTGCAGCAGCAGTCTCCGCTACGTGGGCTTCGAGCTCCTCAAGGCGCTTCG